TATACAATTTAACAGTTTTATTACATCTATATATAGTCCTAAAAAGTGTGTATGCGTGTTTAACATGTATCTATGGTTGTTTTTAACTGTATTATCTCCTTTTGGTTCTTTTCTTTCACTTACTATTACATTGCTTGGATTCATTCATATTTCTGTGTGTTGTTACAGTCATTTTAAAACCCCAGGTCGCCCAGCTGGGCGTGGCTCAGCAGTTGAGCGTCGACCTAGGATCCAGGAGATTGTGGTTCGATTCCTGGTCAGGGCACATGCCCGGGTTGCAGGCTCGATCCCCAGTCGGCGGCGTGCAGGCAATGACTCTCTCATCATTGACGTTTCTATCTCTCTTTCTCCCTCCTTTCCTCTCTCTGAAATCAATAAAGATATATTTTAAAAAAACACACAAACCCATGTAGCAGTTCATTCATCCTCAAACCATTCTTTACTGAAGTACCTATTACATACTTAAGATTTTTTCTTTTCTGGTTATTAACTGGTCTGTCACACCCCATTTGCTAAGAGTTTCTTGTAATTCAAGCAGTTCTTCTACGTTCTTTATAATGGCTGCATGAGATCCTGCCTCTTCTGCAAGACTTGCACTCATGCTTTGCAAATGATTTCCCCTGTGTTGCCAGTTATTTACACTGGGCTACCAGAGAGGCTGACCATCAAATCAATGATGGGCTTAGGGCGCTTGGAGAGCTTGTAGTTTCAGCCAAGAGGAATATTGGAGGGGAGGTGGGGAATGTCAGCTCATTGTTGAGTATTTCCTTGTTATTATCTGCAAACAATAATATAAACAGAGCCACTTTAAAATGGAGCCAGAGTTGCCATGCACTTGTTATACCTCAACTCTTTGGAATGTCACAACAGGGCGATGACTGGGCCTAAGCAAACTTGTGCCTTGCAAAACACTGCAGCAGAGATAACAAGAAAGCAGTTATTATGACTACTGGACTGAAATTTTAAAATGTTGAGAATTACTGTCACTATGTTATGTTATCTGCACCAATAGAAACACCTTCCTTCTCTTGATGTAAGTGCTCCCCTTCCCTCTCTCATGACTACCATTGCCTTTGTCTCCTAATCGGAACACTGGGCTTCTGCCTGAATTAGTGTGTCCCAAGTAACTATTCTTATTGATCTTAATAAATGTTTGTTGCCCCTCACTTTGAAAGACCTTTTATTTTTAGGTTGACAGGTCACTTTTGCTTCCCTGGGTGACCTTGCAAATGTGGGAACTTGGGTCCTGACCATTGGGATACCCAGAATCCTAGGCACCTCAGCAAGTTCTTTAACACTCCTCCCACAAAAAGCAGAACCTAACTGCCTGCCCCTTGACTATGGGCCGAACTTGGTGACCGAAGCAGCAAGTGCAACAGAAGCAATGCAGTGGGGCTTCTCGGGCTCAGTTAAGGAACAGTGACATAGCCTCCACTGGCTCACTGTTCTGGGGACATTCGCTCTGGGAAAGCCAGTCAGCAGGCTATGAAGAAGCCCAGATGAGCCCCCACAGAGACCTCATGAAAGTCCCCTATGGAGAGGACCTGAGGCCCCCGACTGGGCCAGCAGCAACTGCCAGACAAGAGAGTCTTCCAGGAAAGGGCTCCAGAATTCATGAGTGGTGATAAGTTATCCCCGTCCAAGTTCCTCATCACACACAGTGTTAAGCTAACACCCTGTATTGTGTCCAGAGTCCTCACCTGCTGAATCCAGGTACATAATAAATGGTTGTCTTCAGCTAAGTTTCAGAATGGTAATTTATTATGCAAATTATAAAATTAGTAAAAAACAGCAACTGGTACACACTATTTTTTATTTTTAAAAAAGCTGCTATTAGATGCACACAGCTTTTTTTCAAATTATAAGAGAAAGTTTATTTAGAAAGTTACAGAGGTAGAAGTGAGCCAACTGAGCTGTGAGGCCCAGGAAACAAGTTACAGAGGCAGAGGAAGGGCCCTTGGAGCTTGGGAGAGAGAAAGGCAAAGGTAACTCCCCGGGGGGGGGAAGGGGGGGAGCATGCTCCAGAGAGGGAAAGCCCACTTGCACACAAATTTAAGATTGATAACTTCCTTTTGATAATTTGACTGCTTTATTACTAGAAAACAAAACTTCATCTCTGGTAATACCTCTCCTAAATATGCTTATTTTTATTTTGATACAGCCATTCCAGCTTTCTTTGGATTAGTATTTGCATAGAATATTTTATCCCATCTTTGTACTTTATATCTCCATATTTAAAGAGGGTTTGGTATTTTTAAAATTCTATTGGACATCTTCATCTTTTTAGTGGCATGTTCAGAACATTTTCTTTATGTAAGTATTGATATCATTGAATTTAAATCTACCATCTTGCTACCTTACTATTTGTTTTTTGCTTGTCTTATCTGTTCTTTTTTTAAAACATATTTTATTTCACCCATCCCTCCACCCTCCTCCCCTTGGGCAACCATCAACTTGTTCTCTACACCTATGGGTCTGTATCTGTTTTGCTTTGTATGTTCTTTAGTTGTTTTTTTTTAGATTCTACATACAAGTGAAATCATACAGTATTTATCTTTCTCTCTCTCTAACTTCACTTAACTTAATACCTCTCCATCCATCCATATTGTCGTAAATGACAAGATTTCATTCTTTTTTCTTGCTGAGTACACCCAGCAGATGTGGAAGCTGAGGTTTGCAGAGGATGAATACACAGTAAATGGGAAGCCAAGTTTTGAACTTTGGCCATTTGATTTAAAATTTGCTTTTCTTAACCTTGACATCTCCCTTGCAGTTGTCTGTAATCTATTTCTTCCTTCCCATTTTCAGGATACCCCTGATGGCTCACAACAAGACTGACTCACTCCCCCAACACTGGGATTGAACCTGGGAGTGCAGTGCTTCCAAAAAACATACACCTGCCCATGGCATGCCCTAAATATAGCTCACTCAGAAAGACAGAGGCTGATCTGCAGATTGTCAAATGAGACCCTCCTGAGTAAGGTAAAAGTTTAGTTCAGGAGAAAAAAGACAAAGACTATTGTTAAATAAACATTACACACGTTTATCGAGTTCAAAGGGTGATGTTAAAGGGAAGCAGAAGGATAAAAATCAGCTCGCTCTTTTACATTATTTTGTTATATTAATAATTTTATTTTTTTAGTATAGTTTAAAAACTTACATAGAGATATCTTTAATTTAAAACAGTTTGAAACATAAATATTCAAAGATGGAATCAGAATCACTTCTGATTGTGTAATGTTTGAAATAATGTATCGCTTTCAAGAAATTTCACAAATAAATCGAAAAGACTTTACACTATCACCAACTACTAGTTATGATAACACATTTAGCTCTTGGTTGAGCACAGGGCAAAGTTATCCAGCTGTCTTTCTGTGATGCCAGCTTTAACCATTTCTGAAGCTAAGGAGATACTGTATTAAAGAAAGCTACACCAGCATAAAGGCAGCCAATGGGATTAATTTATTGATCTGGATTTATTAGAAACTCATGAAAAAATATATTTTCATAAATTTATTTTTGTTAAAATTGTGTGTTTGTGTAGTAATAATACTTAAAGGCTTATGATAAAAACAGTAGCCCTCGGCTCCCTCTCCCTATCCCTAGTCATACTCCCCACAGACCATCACCATCAGTTCTTCTATTTCCCTTCCTAGTAACCTTTTTATCTCTAAATTATACACTGTTTTGATATTTCTTGATTAGTCATTTGTAGACATTACCTATTGACTTCCCATCATGATGGATGAAGACCTCTTATACTCTACACACATACCCTCTGCCTTTTCTCCCAAACTCCCAACATGGCCGTATCGTCATTCATGGCTGTGTGAAGACTACAACTTTCCAAGAAGCGTTAGGTGCAGTAGCCCAGAAGAGACACGATGGTGACTGGATTATGGTGGTGACAGTGGAGATGGGCAAAACAAGGACTGATTCAAGATACATATGGGAGAAGAGTAGGTGAAACTAGTGAGTGTTGGGGATGAGAGAGGGGGAGGTACACGGGGACTACCCTCAGAGCAAAATTAACTTTCATGCTTGCTTACCTGTCCCAGCTCTTAAGCTCCTATAGGCTTTGGCCTCCCACCTCTTACCTCCTGGCAGCATTTCTCTGCTTCTAAGAATATTTTAAATCGATTTTATCCAACATTTTTAGTTGTTTTTAGCAGTAAAGTGCCCCCAATAATCAATCAGAAATGCCTCTACTTTTTCATTGATTTCTGTTCTGTTTCTTTTCTCCATCCTATTTTTTGTTGTTCTTGTTGATTTTCTCCCTAACTTCTTGAGTTGGACACTCGGCTAATTATTGCTTTTTCTTTTCTATTCTAAGGCTATTCTATTCTAAGGCTCTGAATTCCCGTTAAAGTACACCTTTCATTGTATTCCTTAGATTCTGCTATGTAGTGGAGGAGTGATTGCTCAAAGCCACCTGTTTTCATCAACATCTCACCCCAGCGGGGCTATTGTGCTGCCCTGATTTTTCTCCTCAAGACACCTGCACGCGAGGTCTGGACAAGTGCAGCCAATTTTCCCCATCAGGGGGCAGCAGTGGTTGCCCAAGGCAATGCTAGGAGAGAGAAGAACAGAATTTAAACTACCTTTTTTGGCCTGTGTTTTCCAATCGTGGCTACATGTGAAAATCACTAGGACGTTTTGGAAAATGCTGATGTTTGGGCTCACCAGAGAATGTTCTGATTGGTCAGGGTTAGGGGCCTTGTCCTGGGTACTTTCGGTGATTCTAATGTGAAACCAAGGTTGAGAAGCACTTCTCTAATTTATCTGCTCACTGCTGCTCACTGCTGCAGACTGTATCCTTTCCCTCCCACTCACATCCCCAATTTTAAACCGTCTGTCTTCCCAAAGTTGTTATTTCCTGGTTTCCATATTTCTCTCTGTCGTTTCTCGTTTGGGAAAGGAGGCAGAAACCCTGGTGATTTACACGTTGGCAGGAACCAGAATTCTCCCTCACACTGTCTGTCTTCACAGGAGGTCTCAGCATGAAACCGAAACACTGGTGTGGGATCACCGCCAAAACGGGCACCGTGTTATCAGGGGTCTTTACCATCATAGCCACCAACATGTACCTCACATTTGAACAGAAGTACATACGGAGCAGCAACTGCACTGAGATTACCTGGAGGGCCAAGAGCATGGATGTGGCGGTAAGCGAGATGATGGCCTGTTGGAGTTTCAGCATCGTCCTCTTGCTGTCTTGTGTCACCGTCATCATCAGCTGCTTGCTCCTGTACTCAGTATATGCCAAGAAGTACTGGGGCTTGGTGCTCTACATCTTCTGGATCCTCTTCTATGAAGCTATAAACGTCGCAGTGGAAGTCCTCACCAGCAGCAACACGGGCGTGCTAGAGGTCAGGGTCCTGCGCTGGTTTGGCTTGGTGTCCCGCGTATTCATGCACTGTTTCTGGATCTTCTTTGTCATGACTTATGCCCAGGTCATCTACAAAAGTAATAGCCAGGGTAATGTCATCTTCTACAGCAGACGCATTTCTACAAGCAGCGGAGACTCCCCGCGGCGGAAATCAAAGATCATCAACTTTACCCGCCACTAGAGTGCCGAACATCGGCCCTTTCCTCTCTTGAGGGGCAGGTCTCCCAGGTGCTCACGGTAGTTCTCTTTTCATCTCTTCCCTTTTTCTGGTTTGTTCTGGAAGTGGAGACCCTCCCGCCACCCTCTCTGGGGAATGTGAGGAGAAATGTGGTTAGGGTCACTTCTGGAACGTCCTGCTCGTTGAGGATGTTTAGTTAAAGGTCATTGTTATTTATCGAGCACTGCTTGAACGGCTCCTTCTGGTCAGTACCACCTTCTTGGGCGACACGAAGAGGGCAAGGGGACGAAAGGAAGCTGACCTGCAGTCTGGCGATCCGTTCATCCTGGTAGGTCTTTAGCCGCCTTCAGCCCACAGCTCTCTAATTAACCCCTGGACGGGCAAATCTGTATTTATACCTCAGATTGTTGCAGCGCAAAGGATACTGTTGGTGCCTTCGGGGGCTTTGTGCCATGTTTTTTTCCCCTATGTTGTCTATGCTCGATTCCAGATAAGTAAAAGAATAAAAATAGAAGAAAATCACTTTTTCCTTTTCTGAGTCCCCACTTTTCCAAATTTGTCAAATAAAAGGTGTTTGTTAAACTTTTCTGTGTCTCTCACTGTATCTGGACACTAGGAGGGTGCAAAATAAGATACGAGGCCTAACCTTGAGTTTACAGGTTAGTGGGAGAAACTAAATCACTGTTTATGAATCAATTAGCCAAGCATATATGACAGTACAAGATTACATGTTATCACAGGTCAACAAACTTCACTTTGTATTTAGGTTCAAAAACTCAAAAGCAGCTTAAGGCAGGATAGAAGACAAATTGAGCAAACTTCTACTTCAAACATTCGACATTATGTTGTGTTTGCTTATTTAATAGCTTTCTTGAGGCATAATTGACATATAATAACACATAATGTTTCAAGTATATAATTTGACATAAGCGTATCCCGGTGAAACCACCACCACAATTGAGTTCATGAACACAGGTATCACCTCCAGAAGTTCCCTCGTGATCCCTGCTTCCCCCGTCCATACCCTCCACCCCCACCACAAGGCACTGATTTGCTGTCCCTATATATTAGTTTGCAGTTTCTAGAATTTTACATGTGGATTCATAGAGTGTTGCTCTTTTTTTTTGGTCTGGCTTCTTTGACTCATCCTAATGCCTTTAAGGTTCATCTATGTCCTTATGTGTATTAATAGTTCACTCTTTACTGCTGAGTAGGATGCCATGGCATAAATGTAGCACTGTTTATCCATTTGCCCATTGAAGGACATCTATTGGTTTGCAGTTTGGGGAAATTATGAATATGAATTATGAACTCTATAAACACTTGTGCATATGACTTTGTATGGACTTACGATTTCATTTATCTCGAAACTGGAATTTCTTTTCTAGAGCAGCTGTACCATTTTTGTATTCCCAGTGGCAGTATATGAGAATTCCAGTTCTTCCACATCCTTGCCAGGACTTAGTATGCACAATAAGTTTTTTATTTTAGCCTTCTAGTAGGTATATGGTGGTATTTCATTGTGGCTTCAACTTGCATTTCTCTAATGATAAATGATGTTGAGCATCTTTTCATGTGCTTAATTAGTTTCCTTCTATATTTTTTAGTAAAGTATTCAAATATTTTGCCCATTTTTTATTTGTATTTTTTTTCTTATGCCCATTTTTAAAAATTAGGTTGTTTTTTATTCTTTATTCTTGAGTTTGGGGAGTATGTTTTGTGTTTGTTTGTTTAATATATACTTTTTTATTGTTGACAGTATTACAGATGTCCTCCATTTTCCCTCCCTTTGCCCACTCCACCCAGCCCCTACCCCACTGGGGAGTTTTTTATATTTTCTGAATACAAGTCCTTTATCAGATATATGATTTGGAAATATTTTTCTATTTTGTGCCTTGTCTTTTGGTTCACTTAACAGAATCTTTTGAAGAGCAAAAGTTTTAATTTCAATGAAGTCCAGTTTATCAGTTTGTTCTTTTATGAGTCCTCCTTTGGTTATCATATTTATGAAATCTTTGCCTAACACCAGGTCATGAAGGTTTTCACCTATGTTTCCCCTAAAGGTCATAGTTTTAAGTTTGAAACTTAGATGTATAATCCCTTTTGAGTTATTTTTTATATATGGCGAGAGATGTAGATCAAAGTATACCTTTTGTTCCTGGGTATCTAGTTGTTCCAACACTAACTCTTGAAAAGACTATCTTTTTTCTACTGAATTGACTGTATATACACACACATGCCTCTTTCTGGATTCTGTTTTATTCCATATATCTATTTGTCTCTCTTTCGGCCAATGTGACCCTGTCTTAACTATGGTAGCTTTATAATAAGACTTTAAATCATAGTCCTCCATCTTTGTTCTTTTTCAAAATTGTGTGGCTATTCTGCGTTCTTTGTGTTTCCTTATGAACTTCAGAATCAGCTTAAAATTTCTATGAAAAATAAAGCCTGCTGAAATTTTGATTGGAATAACATTGAATTTATAGATCAATGTGGAGAGAACTGACATCTTAGCAATATTGTGTCTTCTAACCCGTGACAACAGTATTTCTCTTCATTCATTTAAGTCTTCTTTAATTTCTCTTAGCAATGCTTTGTAATTTTCAATATACAAGTCTTTCACATCTTTTCCAGATTCATCTCTAAGTATTTTATTTTTTATGCTATTGTAAATAGTATTATTGGTTAAATTTTAATTCTGAATTTTTGTTGATAGTATATAGAAATACAATTTTTAAAATATATTGATCTCGTATCCTGCAACATTGCTAAATTCATGTATTAGGTCAAGTAATGTTTTTGTAGATTCCTTCAGATTTTCTGCATAGTCAGTCATGTCTGCAGATATAGTTTTCCTCCTTCCTGTTCTTGCCTAATTGCACTAGTTAGCTCTTCCAGTGCAACACTGAGTAGAAGCAGGGAGAAGGAACATTATCGTCTTGTTTCTGATTTTAGAGGGAGAGCACTCAGTCTTTCTCCATTAAGTATGGTGTTGGCTATAGGTGTTTCACTGATGTCCTGTATCAGGTTGAGGAAGTTCCTTTGTATTCCTTGTTTGCTGAAGAATTTTAAAAATCAGGAATAAATGTTGCATATCGTCAAATGTTTTTGTACATGTGTTGAGATGATTATATGCTCTTTATTTTTTTAGATTATTAACATGGTAAATTACTTTGATAGATTTTCAAATGTTAACCCAGCCATGATATTCCTGGAACAAACTCTACTTGGTCATGATGTATAATTCTTATTTTACATATTGTTGGATTAGATTTGTTAAATCTTGTTTTAAAATTTTGCATTTATGCTCATAGGGAATATTTGTCTGTAATTTTCTTATAATGTCTTCATTAGGTTTTGGTATCACAGTAATGCTTAGTTCATAGAAAGGAATGTGTCTTCCTTGTCAGTTTTCATAAGAGTTTATGTATAATTGATATTTATTTCTTCCTTAAATGTTTAGTAGGATTCAGCACAGAAGCCATCGGGACCTGGAATTTCTTTGTGGGAAGCTTTTAACTACAAATTCTTTTTTTATTTTTAGAAAGAGAGAGAAATAGATAGAAACATTGGTGACAGAGAAACATCATCAATCGGTTGCCTGCTGCATGCCCCACACTGGGGACTGAGCCCTAAATAGGGCATGTGCCCTGACTGGGAATCAAACTGTGACCTCCTGGTTCCTAGGTCAATGCTCAACCACTGATCCATGCTGGCCGGGCATATATCTTTATATTTAAAATATGTTTATGATAGGCAGTGTATAGTTGGGTCTTGCTTTTTTATTCAGTCTAACAANTCAAGTAATGTTTTTGTAGATTCCTTCAGATTTTCTGCATAGTCAGTCATGTCTGCAGATATAGTTTTCCTCCTTCCTGTTCTTGCCTAATTGCACTAGTTAGCTCTTCCAGTGCAACACTGAGTAGAAGCAGGGAGAAGGAACATTATCGTCTTGTTTCTGATTTTAGAGGGAGAGCACTCAGTCTTTCTCCATTAAGTATGGTGTTGGCTATAGGTGTTTCACTGATGTCCTGTATCAGGTTGAGGAAGTTCCTTTGTATTCCTTGTTTGCTGAAGAATTTTAAAAATCAGGAATAAATGTTGCATATCGTCAAATGTTTTTGTACATGTGTTGAGATGATTATATGCTCTTTATTTTTTTAGATTATTAACATGGTAAATTACTTTGATAGATTTTCAAATGTTAACCCAGCCATGATATTCCTGGAACAAACTCTACTTGGTCATGATGTATAATTCTTATTTTACATATTGTTGGATTAGATTTGTTAAATCTTGTTTTAAAATTTTGCATTTATGCTCATAGGGAATATTTGTCTGTAATTTTCTTATAATGTCTTCATTAGGTTTTGGTATCACAGTAATGCTTAGTTCATAGAAAGGAATGTGTCTTCCTTGTCAGTTTTCATAAGAGTTTATGTATAATTGATATTTATTTCTTCCTTAAATGTTTAGTAGGATTCAGCACAGAAGCCATCGGGACCTGGAATTTCTTTGTGGGAAGCTTTTAACTACAAATTCTTTTTTTATTTTTAGAAAGAGAGAGAAATAGATAGAAACATTGGTGACAGAGAAACATCATCAATCGGTTGCCTGCTGCATGCCCCACACTGGGGACTGAGCCCTAAATAGGGCATGTGCCCTGACTGGGAATCAAACTGTGACCTCCTGGTTCCTAGGTCAATGCTCAACCACTGATCCATGCTGGCCGGGCATATATCTTTATATTTAAAATATGTTTATGATAGGCAGTGTATAGTTGGGTCTTGCTTTTTTATTCAGTCTAACAACCTTTTAATTGGAGTCTTTTGATCATTTACATTTAGTGGTCCTTTATTATTTGTTTTCTATTTGTCCCATCTACTCTTTGGGGCTTTTTTCTTTTTCTACCTTCTTTTGGATTAGTTTAATATTTCTTATGGTTTCATTTTACCTCCTTTGTGACATTATATATAATTCTTGGTTGTATTATTTTAGTTACTGTTTTAGAGTTCGTAGTGTATATCTTTAACTTATCAGAGTCTACCTTCAGATGTTATTATGCTGCTTCATATATAGTATAAGAACCTTACAATAGTAAACTGCCAAGATTCCTCTCCTATTTGTGCTGTCGTTATCATGTTTTGCTTTTATATGTTATAAATCTCAACCTACATTTTGCTTTTGTTTAAATTATCTTTTAAAGAACTTTAAATGACAAGAAAAACATCAAATATTTGCCCATATTTTCCCACTTCCTCCCTTCCCTCTTGCTGCTTAGCCAGACAGAAACTCTACTCCAGACTGATGCAGCCAAGAAAACAGGCTTCCTCCTCCTGATCCCCTAGTCAGGGTCTTCTTCCCAGGAGGAGCAGAACATTGGCATTTCTCACCCTGGCCCCAGGTACCTGTTGCTGAGGCTAAAAGGAGGGGGCCCCCTTTTGCTGCCCAGCCCCTACCCACAGGAGAGAGGCATTGTGTTGGATGGGGTACTGCTGAGAGTACTGGGGCCCCAATTACCCTTGCCCCAGTTTGTAAGGTGGTAGTTCCAGTGACGAGAGGCAATCCAAGAAGACCCCAAGCTACTCTTTCTTCCTCATGAGCACTCAGATTCTAAAGCAGGAGTGTCACTAAGAATAAAGTAGACAGTTGTCCCCACCCACAGTTCCAGAGCCCTGGCCCAGAGATTTTGGCTGGGGCGTGGGAGATAAAACAGTTTGTAGTCTCTTCCTAAAGAGCTGGCTTCATTTACAACAGAGCATGGAGACGTTCAAGCCTAAAGGCACTCTAAAAAATGGTGAAGGTTGTGGCAAAAGGCAACTGGGTGGGTGCAGGAGGCAACTAATCAATGTCTCTCTCATAGTGATGTTTCTCTCCCCCCCCCCCCC